GCCCCGCGCGCCCCCCGAGCCCGAGCCCGAGCCGCGCGCCGGGGAGGGCCGGCCGGCCGAGGACGCCGCGGGGCCCGGGGCCGCGCCGGCCGAGACTGCGCCCCGGCCCGACTCCGAAGGCGGACGCGCGCCCGCCGCCCCCGACCCTTCTTCGGCCGATCCGCCCTCCGACCCATCGGCCGATCGTATTTGTCTGATGTTCTCTGACGTGACTTCACTGAAAAGCTTTGACTCTCTTACAGGCTGCGGAGATATTATCGCAGACCCCGAGGACGAGGCAGGGCCCAGCTGTGCCAGGCATGCCCCCGCGCCGGGCCAGCCAGGCCCCGCCCAAAAGCCCCCCGGCGTGGTGGCCTACCAGGGAGGCGGGGAGGAGATGGCGAGCCCGGCCGAGGCGGACGACTCGTACCTGCAGGAGTTCTGGGACATGCTCTCCCAGACCGAGGACCAGGGCCCGGGGCCCCAGCAGGGGGAGGCCCCGGCGGCGGCGGCGGCGGCGCCCGAAGCTCAGGTGGCCCCCGAGACCCCCAAGGACGCCAGGCGGGCCGAGGGGACCAAGGACGCGTCCTCGGTCAAGCGCCGGAGGCTGCACCGGCTCCCCACGGAGCTCCAGCCGAAGGAGGAGCCCAAGCACCCGGACGAGGAGCCGCAGGAAGGCGTCCCCAACAGCGACGAGGGCTACTGGGACTCCCCCACTCCCGGGCCGCGGGAGGACGGCTCGGGCGGCGGCGTGAGGAAGGCGGGCCTCCCCCGGGACAGCGACAGCGGTGACGCGCTCTACGATCTCTACGCCGAGCCCGATGGAAGCCCCGCGGCCCTGCCCGCCGCCGCCGAGGACACGTCCTGCTCGTCCAGGTTAAAGCCCGTGTCTCCGGTCACCGTCACCTGTGCCCTGCGAACGCCGGGGAGCTTGCTGAAGGACTCCAAGATCCCGATCAGCATCAAGCACCTCGCGAACCTTCCACCCAGCCACGCGGTGGTGCACCAGCAACCAACCAGAAGCGAGCTGCCCAGAACCAAAATCCCGGTGTCCAAGGTGCTGGTCCGCCGGGTCAGCAGCCGGGGCTTGGCCGGGACCACCCTCCGGGCCGCGGCGTGCCACGACAGTGCCAAAAAGTTGTGAGGTCTCCGAGGCCGAGGTGGAGGGGCCGCTTGTCGAGGAACACAACTTTCCTCGGAAAACACTGCAGCAAGTTTTGCACCCCTCAAAGAAAGGCCTTTCGGACCGTCCCTGCTCCGAGCCTGGACCAAGGAGGTCTTTGTGTCGCCAGCAGGGGCAGGATACACCAGGCAGGGGATGCCACACGCGGGATTTCCCCTCCAGATAAGTCCCTGAGAATTATTTTCAAGCACTTTTTTTTTCTTTTTTACCTTTTTAAAAATCTTTTTTTTTCTTTCTTTTTTCTTTAATGCACTGAACGCTAGGAAGTCACCTTTACTTGCCTTTGCAGAAAACAGAACTTAACCCAATCTAAGGAAGCGTCACGCCATGATATTTGGCTGTGCCGGTGTCCAGCGGGCCTGCAGGAACCATGGGGAGAATCAGAGGAGCCCTCCTCTTCCTGACACTTTCCTTCCTTCTTTTCCTTTTCCTTTCCAGGAAAAAAAAAAAAAAGGACCCTTTGCTGTATCACTGTGTGGAAAACATCTACAAAGCTGAGTCAGGTAATTTACCTGATGAGCGGAAGCATCGCTGATTGGCAGAAACCCCCCGGTACTTTCAGTTGCTAGGTATGCAGATAGGTATTTATCTACCACTAGGACGATCAAGGAGAGTTTGGATTTGGTGGGTTTATTTAGATCATTTGTTTGGAGAGAAAAAAAAAAAAGCTCAGCAGAGCAGGTTTCCCTCCCTTTTTTTTTTCCACCCAGTGCAGAGATCAAGATCAGGAAAAGATTGCACTAAACGCCAACAGACACAGTGTTTTAGCGTTTATAAACTGTAACCTTTTCATGTGTACATGATGCATATTTTACAGATTATCCAGCTGTCAACCTTTTATAATCTGTCAGTAACCTCGAGTATAAAATCTGGTTTTTTAGCTAGACACGATAACCGTTCTCAAACCATTGGTGGTCTTTTATGTGCTCTAAGCGGAAGCAGTTCTGTTTTTGTTTCATGTGGGTTCCCTGGCTTTCAGTGCAGGAAAAAAAACTCTATTGTGTTGATGTCCCAAAGGAATGCTTCTGCCTTGTCTTGGGTTAAGAGTCTGTTTCTCACCCCAGACCCTGGTTTTCAGAGATTTTACCTTGGTTATAACAATTTTGGATTCAACCGTTTCTCAGTATGGGGAGTCCAAAACGAGGAACACATAAAGAAAAACAATAGAAAATGTAGTTTTTCCTGTCATTTGACGTCTGCTTTATAGACTTAGGACTGAGCCACATATGTTCAGAATATGACACTGGGAAGCTTATGTATCATAAACATTGTGTGCCAAGATTATTTTTGAAAAGTGGTTGACTTATATGTGTGTTTTCTATTATTTTAGATGAAATATTTATTTCAGAAAGCATTACCATATGCCTCGATAGTTTGAATGATAAACTGAAGCAATTCCTACAATGCTCTTAGGGTCTAATGATTATAGAATATCCTCTTTGAAATGTATTTGAGTGTATTTAATCAAAAGACCAGAGCTTCTACTAGGAGATGATTCACAGTATCGGGAAGATTACACATATTCAAGTGAAAATACACACACGTAAGAGACACGCACACTTCTCTCTAACTCTCATTTTCCAGAGAGATTCCCTGAGTAATGAACTGGTAGTACCCGTTTTTTAAGTTCATTTTCTGTTTTATAAAGGAAAGAAAAAGGCGAGTTAAGTATATGAAAACTTATTTTAATAATATGAAAGGAGTAACAAAATAAACAGATGTCAGAGGAATACAGATCCAGGCCAGCAGCACAAAGCAGGTTGTTCCCCGTTTTAAATATGCAGTGATTCAATTAGAAGAGGTGGTAGAGATTGGCTAAATCTCTTTATTATTCAGATTACTGGCTTTTATTGTGTCATGTCAGATCCTTAATGTGATTTTAAAGTAGTGTTTTAATATTCAATTTCCTTATGTCTGTAGATGAGGTCTGACAGGCAGACATGGCCTTAAGCACTCCGAATACGCCACCAAGAGTTCATAAAGCGGCTCACACTCACACGTGCTCATGCACTCAGCTGTGTACAGCTAACAGACAAAGGCGTTCACCGCACACTTGGAGATGGTTTAGAAATTAGTTCTGTCTTGAGAAAGGGATTTGAATATGATTCAACGCTGGTAGTACTACTTAGACTCCAGATACATTCATTTCCCCCCAGTGAATGGGAAGAACATACCTTTTATTCCTAGCTGTAAAACAAAGGATCTTTATTTTCTTCCTGTGCATCTTCTTGCAGGGGTTAGAAGGGTCTCCCCTGCATGAATCCATGACAGAGTTATATCTGTTCACTTGTTCAATTGCACAGGGACGGTAGGAGGCCCTGAAGGACTCATGAGGATGTTGTAGTAGTAAAGGCAACCTACTTATCTGTTTTGTAAGCACTGGAACAAAGTATTTTTGCTTTCACTCACAGTTTTGGGACTTACTTCTGCATTTACCCCACTGTGCTGTGTCTTGTTTTTATAAGTAAAGGAAAATGTCAGCAGCGTTTGCTTTATTTTCCCCCTGCCTGTCAGTGAACCACTTATGCAAGATTTAAACTATTTTCTTTTTTGTTCTTTTTTCCATATATTTTCCATGGTTTTTTTGTTTTGTTTTGTTTTGTTTTTTTAACTGTATCTCTAAGAATTCCACCCACACCAGTCAAATGAAGGATTCAGGCAATGAATTAAATGGCCTCAATCACTTGATGGGAAATCAAGACCAGTACAGGGAGGTGTGTCTTAACCTTTTCCAACCACAGACAAGGGATGGTAGTTGCCTTTTTGTATCAAGGGCTACTTTCTCTCATTCATGTTCATGGAGATTGTTTCCTAGGATTTTAATGGATTTACATTCCAATTGTTATGGGTTGGCCAAAAAGT